TGAGGCCAATCGCATGGCGCGATGCTAAAGATAACCTAAAATAACCTCAAAGTATTCTTATAAGCGAGAGAAATCCCGTGCTTGGTTTGCGATTGTGAGTGAGTTTGGTTTTATGCCGTTTTTAGCAATGTTCCAGCAATATCACGGCGGGGGACATCAGAAATGGGCTTCAGACATTGTACCCATGTGGGGAATCGAACCCGGGTTTTCGGTGTGACGATCGAACGCTTTAACCACTAGGCTACTTCACCGCCCAGCTGGGTTAGAGGTAGGAGAGAGAGAGATGATGACGTCACTTCCGAAACGAAGCTGTCGTGGCAAATGGATCACATTATTGTTCCTTCACCCAGCCCTTTCATCAATACTAAAGCCCTTAATGAAGCAAGTCTCGATCTTGCCATCTCAATGGGGGTTCCTCTAGATTTCCAATGGAATTATTTCTGTCAAAATAATAGCATGTTCAGAGACTAAGCGTTACAATGCATCTGGCCAGAGAGTATATACTTGTATATAGTCTCTGATATAGCACAACATGCTTGAAACATGGTCTGTGTAATCAAGGCCGGGATACCAGCTGATGTTACACCTAATGATAGAATGATGTCCTTGTGATCAGTTGATTGCCACAGCCTCTGCCTTCACGTACTATTATTACTATATCATATATATATAGGTGATCGTGTCAAGTTGTACTTGGACAACGTCATCATCTGGCATTACGACGATGACTGTATTCCCTGCTGAAATAACTTAACGGTGACGGTGTCCTGTGGTACTTGGACAGCGGACATCTGGTGTTATGACGATCAAAGTGTCTTCTGGTTTCAATAATATACTCAGTGGGTAGTACAGTCGTGTCCATCCGTATTATGACAACAGTTTTGGTTTGTGCTACGACAACAGTTTTGACTGTGTGGCGGCACTTTACGAACATTATGGCGTTGTGCTACAAGTAGTGTGGCGGCTTACAGCTGGCTTTTATGATTATGTCTTTCCGGGATTATGCTGCAGGCTACTGATATTATGATGATTATCTTCTAGTTGCATTGCTGAAGACTACTGGTATTATAATATATTGCTATTATAACTATGGTATTGTGATATCATGAATGAAGTCTTCTGGCATTATAGCTCTCCTCTGATGTTAGTTTGTTATTCTGACTATGTTCGTATTTAGTAGTATTACGAAACAAGCTTTAACAATCCAAAACAGCCTTAAACGACTCACTGCCGTTTCCAGCCCAGCCTGGGTCCCTGGGTCTGTTGCGCCTGCGCTAACGCTTCGACGCTGAGCGGTAGCGCAGGCGCAACAGACCCAGGGAAACAGGCTGTTTCCAGCCCTTCACTCAGTTTGTCACACTTAAGCTGAAGTTGTAATCCGAAATCCAAATAATTCACCTGGTCAAACCTAAACGGTACTGATTATCTCTTTGTTAAACGCCAGGCATTACAGAGCCTTAAGAGAGAGAGGACAACCCGAAGTGGTTAATCCAAAATAACACCCAAGTATATATGGAACCTTTGTACACGCACATGTGGAACACGTGCTCGGTGTTGATGGCAACTACAACAAAAGCCATCTACGACGGATGTAACGACATCCAATACAGCAAACCCTTCTGAAACTAGGTCACTTCGTAAAGACTCCATACCGTGACGTAGGATGTCATTGTTTGAATGCCAAAAACTGGATGGAACGGGTGTTCTGATGTCCCTCAGTACATCCGGGGCTGGTGCAGGTTACCCCGTTATACTGCGCCATCATGTAGTGTGACGGTCGAGTGGTAAGTTAGTCAACAACACGAAATAAAATGTAATAAAAATAAGACCATCTTTCCCAGGGCGAAGGTCAATGTCTTTGTCCATTATTTGTGATGAGAAAGACGGACATATATCAAACCATGACTAATGCGTACGTGGGCGTGAGGAGACAGCGGGGCGACAACCATAGTTATCTATCGTACCGTCTCGCGCACGTAAAACCAGTCATTCTCATATTATGAAATAAACGACAACATAAACATAATGGGGCTATGTCAGTGTAAATCTTAACATCTGCAGCGAAATAAATCTAGTATGATATTAAATGTTTCTAAGTATTTTCAGATGTAGATTTATCTGGTCCAAAAAACCGTTAGGTAAATATGCCACTGAGTTCGTTCTGGTCTCAACGTGGCTCTTAATCGCTACGAAGAAAACGCGCAGCCACTTCCTTCATGGTCTGATAATGATTTATTTATTATTTCTGTAGAAAGGGAAGAATTTCTAGTTTTCAAACTAAACATATTGTTTCACACAAGCTCTGACAAGAAAGTAATATTCCCCTACAGCTGGTTCCAGGGTCAACTGCTTACACTTGATAGAAACTCACCCGATCTATTTTCCATACGACTTGTCACAGGTCACACAAACCTCAACCGCTACAGGGAATTCCTTGATATAACGTAACCCGTATAGCGTTCGAGACAGACCCTCTTTATTGCAGGAGTATATAATATAAGCGCTATCAAAAAGACACAGGCGCCCTTTGAGAACGCCGGAAAGTCATGATCGAATCCCTAATATCGTTTCTTGGTTACCATGCCCGTTTCGGTGCTTTCTCCAAATTGGTAAACGGAGACCTGCGGGTTTTCCTCCAACGGTGTGATGTATCTGAAATTGATGAATAGTAATTCTGACGAAGTCTAGAGAAGCAGATAGTTCATCTAAGGACACTATTCTTTAAATTGTACTTACTATTTAAATAACCCAGGATTTAAGCCTTTTCATTATAAACTTGTGCACGACCTGGTCAAACTTCGGTTTGTTATATGGCCACTGCGTAACACGGCAAAATTGCACGAAGGGATAAAAAAAAAATCGGCTCCACCGGAATAAAATGTGGTGCTTGAAGAAAACCAACCCCGCCCTGACATGACCCACCCACCGCCACAAAGTTGCGTTCTCATTGCACTCTTCCATTTTCCTCTTTTCTTCATCCCGGACTTGACCCGAGAAGATCCGGGTTAGAATTGATCTTCAAAACCCATGCTGTTGTAAGAGGCGACTAACGGGATCGGGTGGTCAGGCTCGCTGACTTGGTTGACACTTGTCATCGTATCTCAATTGCGTAGATCGATGGTCATGATGTTGATCACTGGATTGTCTGGTCTAGACTCGATTAGTTACAGACCGCCGCCATATAACTGGAATATTGCTGAGAGCGGCGTTAAACAACAAACAAACAAATGAACGAACGAACAAACAAATCTACCGCGGATTTTCAGATGCTGTTGTTTAATGGTGCCGCTTGGTATCATAAACTTATATTTTAGACCGAAATGTATATATCGTTATATCGGTTCAAATATTTTCTCAAAATTGCGTATTGCTAACATATATTCAAACTGGGGTAAAACAATTAGAATTACGTGATCCAAGTCACGAGAACAAATCGAAATTTCGAGAAAATAGTTGAAAAACCGAAAAATAATCAAAGCGATTCAATAAAAAAATCCTAATTTCGAAACAAGAAACAAATATACCATTCAAAAAAAGTAGGGGATGTTCCATTTTACGAGCATACCACTAGCCAATGCCAATGCATATGAGATAAAGTTATATATATCCATACAGATTAAACATTTCCAAAGGAATGGAATAAATTGTCACATTTTCCTTAATTTCTCTTCATCATCTGTTTCCTCCTTGGCTTCATCATTTGCATTTTATCAATCTTGTAAATTCAATATCCCCTACTTGTTTTTAATGGTATAATTGAAATAATGAGATATTTCGGACGAAAAACGCAATTCATACTATCATTGAGGCACAATTATAGGCTGTCGTAGCTATCAAGTCAGTAGCGTCATCGGCTGATTGAACTGTCAGGTACCCATGGATGTGCTTGTCTCAGCAAGACTTTAGTGTTCTATGGGTGCACATTTGCTTTGATATTTGACATATTGAGCTTTCGACATTTTGCTCAAGAGATTGGAATATATATGTTTTCATTATCTTTTTTTTGTAAAGGTTATAACGAACATGTTTAAGCTTTCTGATATGTCTGTTAGCCGTGAAGATCCGGGCTAGAATTGATCTTCAGCAACCCATGCTTGTCGTAAGAGGCGACTAACGGGATCGGGTGGTCAGGCTCGCTGACGTGGTTGACAAATGTCATCGCATCACAATTGCGTAGATCGATGCCCATGCTGTTGATCACTGGATTGTCTGGTATTACTAATTTGGGATAAGACAATATAAAACAGTCATTCGTATTACCGTTTGCAACTGTCTGAAAATGTTCTTCGTGATTGTTAGGCAGAACACAAACAAACATCATACTGATAAAACTCAAATATGTTTAAAATTGGCAACAGTACAGCTTTCTTTAACAGTTTTTTAAGCGTACAAGACTTGAGCAGTTATACACGATAATTCCTATAATAATAAGAGTGAGTAAGTTTAGTTTACGCCCTTTTTAGCAATATCCCAGCAATATTTACGGCGGGGGACACATATATGGACTTCACACATTGTACCCATGTGGGGATCGAACCCGTACCTTCGGCGTGACGAGCGAACGCTTAACCATTAGGCTAACCAATAAGAAACGACATCACCAGTTGTGAAAGGTGTTAAGCCCCTCAGCGAACCAAAACGTCCCATCAGTCTATCACTCTACGATTATTCGATGTCTAAAGTTACCCTAGATGGGTCCTTCATACTACCATCACTCATTGAATAGCAATATTGCTAAAAGCGGCGTAAAACTAAACTCAGTCAGTCAGTCATTGAATAGCTATAGGATTGGCCAGATCTTGCCAACGCAATCTAAAACATCAATGTATAAGCTTAGCTCTCTCGCTTGTGTATACAAAACTGCAACGTCAACATGGAGATATCATTATAAAAACATAATTATGCCTGACTATCTAAATATTTATAAGCAATTAAAAAAACGTATTCAAATGATAATGATTTAGTCGAGGTATCTTCAAAAGCGAGCAGTATACGGCCATTAACTTATTATTAAAGTGTAGGTGATGCAGTTTGCATTCTTTGTGTCAAAGTCGGCAAGATGGAGGTGTGTTTAGATTTTAAGATACGGTTAGATGAGAAGGAACATTGAATAGAATATAGTTTGCAGAATGTCATGAGAGGATCCGCTCATGCTGGTTTTATAGACTTTTTGACAATTGACAGGAAAAGAAAGATGAATGGGACTGGTTATATGTATGGTGGTAAGAGCCTTTACGTCAGTGATTGCCGCCATGCTATTTCGTACTTTACTTGAGAAGTATATCCACCTTGGGATAGCGGTGTCAATATAAATTGATTCATATTCAGTGGTGGAGTATTATTTTTGATCTTTATTACATAATTATTGTTCCAGGTATGACAGCCTGGAAGAACATAAACTTTTGTTATACAGGTAAGACGCCATTTTTGTTATACAGGTAAGACGCCATTAGTCTGTCTAATAATCCCTCAACCCCGTCTCATGTGCACCTTTTCATGTAAATGGAGCGATTTTGCTAAAGTACATATTTAGGGACTACAGGGTTAGTGAGTGAATATAGTTTAACGCGGCATCAGCACTGAATTCATCTGAAGGCTAAAACATTTTTAAGGGATTTTATTATAAATACAGGATTTAACTTTTGAACCATACATTTTTATGCCAAAATCAATTTACATGACTATTCTTAAATTTAGAACTAGTAACCATTATCTACCTGTTGAGACTGGCCGGTGGACAAATACTCCTAGATATGATCGATTATGCAAATGATGTAACTCACCCACTGTTAGTGATGAGTTTCACTACCTTTTCAGGTGCCACGATCTTCACCAACAGCGACAGCTGTATATACCTCAGTATGTCAATACCTGGCCCAACCTTTATACACTGAAAAGATTACTATGTTCAAAGAAAGCTAAAAATGCCAAAGATTTGACAAAATTTATGTAACGTATCAATAGAAGTTTAGATATAAATACATGTAATTAAATGTTTGTATCATTCTCTAATGAGATCCTTGTATATGAATATGTATGTATATTGTATTGTACATTATCCTGCCTCAATTATATCTCTCCAGTGCCATCTTGGTGTATGTGTATACAAGTTGTTTTCTTCACTCATGTACCACCGTTGGTGGAAGTTGAGAAAAATAAAACCCTCGAACCTTCGTTAGGCTGTCGTGGATGGTGGAACGTTAAGTTTTTTGTTTGTTTGTTGTTTAACGCCGCTCTCAACAATATTCCCTCTGTATGGCGTCGATCTGTAATTAATCGAGCCTGGACCAGACAATCCAGTGATCAACATCGTGAGCATCGATACACGCAGTTAGGGATGCGATGACATGTGTCAACAGAGTTAGCGAGCCTGACCACCCGATCCAGATAGTCGCCTGTTACAACAAGCATGGATTGCTGAAGATCAATTCTAGCCCGGATCTTCACGGGTCGAACCGTTAGCATGTGGCGGTTGACACAACTTTGAAGAGTATTTCTGTGACGACATATCGGCAAAGGATGGGAGGGAAGCAGTAAGTGTTGAAGATGACGACTTTATAGGTGTCATTGTAGTCGGTTTCATAGTCCTTGAACTGAATTCTTTCCCTTCGGAACACCACCCTTTCTACAAGGTAAAAGCCCTAAATGGAGACCTAAGTTGAGCCCTAAAAGGAGCAGGTCCAGACTCTTGATTTTGGGGGGCGGTGGGGTAGCCTAGTGGTTAAAGCATTGGCTCGTCACGCCGAAGACCCGGGTTCAATTTCCCACATGGGCACAATGTGTTAAGCCCATTTCTGGTGTCCCCCCGCCGTGATGTTGCTGGAATATTGCTAAAAGCGGCGTAAAACTAAACTCAATCAGTCAGTCTTGGTTTGGGTTCTGAATCTCCTATTTCACTAGGGCTCCGTTCCAACTTAAAGGGAGTATTTTTTTGGTCAATATTATATGTATTTTCCGAGACTAAGCGTTAGTTTGATGTCATGCATATAGTCCTTTGACCTACCCCCTGGCACACAAAGATCATATTCATGCTGAATGTAAGATTCGAACACCGAACCCTGAAACGATTAAAGGTTTAAACTGGACAGTTATCCAACTGTTTCTTTGTCATTATCCCGAAATGAGTTTACCGGATGTCTGTTCGCGGCATCCTGCGTTGTCTTGATGTCTCGATCCAGAGACACACAGCCGTCTCAGCCGCCTTTTCGGTATCAAAGTATACATTTCCAACGTATAATTTATACCTTCGATTGTATATCTGAGCTATGTCTGTTTCGAACTGTGGTAAATGCAAATCGTTACTATTCGACACCCTGGCAAGTTTCAATTGTAGTAGTAGTAGTAGTAGTGGTGGTAGTAGTAGTAGTAGTAGTAGCAGTAGCAGTAGCAGTAGCAGTAGCAGTAGCAGTAGTCGTCGTCGTCGTAGTAGTAGTAGTAGTGGTAGTAGTAGTAGTAGTAGTAGTGGTAGTAGTTGTAGTAGTAGTAGTAGCAGTAGTAGTAATAGTAGCAGTAGTGGTAGTAGTAGTAGTAGTGGTAGTAGTAGTGGTAGTAGTAGTAGATAGTAAGTAGTAGTAGCAGTAGTATATAGCATGAGCAGCAGTAGTAGTAGCAGTAGTAGTAGTAGCAGCAGTAGTAGTAGTAGCAGCAGTAGTAGTAACAGTAGCAGTAGTAGTAGTAGTAGTAGTGGTGGTAATAGTAGCAGTAGTAGTAGTAGTAGTGGTGGTGGTAGTAGTAGTAGTAGTAATAGTAGCAGTAGTAGTAGTGGTGGCAGGCAGTAGTAGTAATAGTAGTAGTAGTAGTAGTAGCAGCAGCAGCAGTAGTAGTAGTAGCAGCAGTAGTAGTAGTAGTAGTAGTAGTAGCAGTAGTGGTGGTAGTGTAGTAGTAGCAGTAGTAGCAATAGTAGTAGTAGTAGTAGTAATAATAGTAGTAGTAGTAGTAGTAGTATAAGCATGAGCAGCAGCAGTAGTAGTAGTAGTAATAGTAGTAGTAAATAGTAGTAATAGTAGTAGTAGTAGTAGTAGTAGTAGTAGTAGCAGTAGTATAAGCATGAGCAGTAGTAGAGCAGCAGTAGCAGCAGCAGGAGTAGTAGTAGTAGTAATAGTAGTAGTAGTAGTACTATATTTCTAATTATCCATCGGTATGTACTTCGAAAACACACAGAATATAAAAACAGTTACTGTAGTAAGCTAGCTTTGTTCAGCCTTGAACTGCTGTAGTCACTGTAGCAAGTTGTGTTTCCCCTGGACTTCCCCACACTCCTGTGTCACACAGCGATATTTACTGTTCAATAGCACCGGACAATAGCCTAATCTATACTGTACACTGCCACCTGGATTAGCGTCACCTTTAATCTTTCGCATGGCAGTTGTGAGCACCTTGTTATCAGCTGTTGCACAACCCTGTGTACACAACTGCTTTAACTATTAGGGAGGGAGGGACTTTAATCCGAGGTAAACTTACCACTGGGTCGTGAACTTCGTACATCTTTCTCTAGCCCGGCTATGATATTGTCTGGACTACAGCGCCTCCTAACCGTGAAGATCCGGGTTAGAACTCGTCTTCAGCATCCCATGAGCCTACTTAAGAGGCGACTGACGGGATCGGGTGGTCAGGCTTACTGACTTGGTTCACACATGTCATCGTATCCTAATTGCGTAGATCGATGCTCATGCTGTTGATCACTGGATGGTATGGTCCAGACTCGATTATTAGATCCGTCGTCATGTCATCTGGAATATTGCTGAGTGAGGTATTAAACAACAAACTTAAACAAAACACGCGCCTCCTGTGTGTAGCTGTGCCAGAACCAACGACATACCATAGTACCCCATATTAGAGAGGATCTCGCCGAAGACCCGGGTTCGATTCCCCACATGGGCACAATGTGTTAAGCCCATTTCTGGTGTCCCCCGTCGTGATATTGCTGGAATATTGCTAAACGCGGCGTAAAACTAAACTCAGTCAGTCAGTCAGTCAGAGAGGATCTCTGTTCGTGCTAGCAATCACTGTATTCTTGGTCAGGGCCCCAGTCCCTAAAGCGTGCGTAGGGTAACGACCCATCGTAACTCGTTGCTTAATCTTAGGCTTACGGATGGCATGGAGCTACGAACACTTTGTGATAGTTATTCAGAGTTGTATCCCTTGGGCGTGTCAGGACCCTATATCCCTGGGCTTAGATTTTCGAAGTTCTCTTAGCGCTAAGATACTAGTAGTCGTAAGTTAATGTTAATGTATGACACTTACGACTATCTTAGCGCTAAGAGAGCTTCGAAAATCTAGACCCTTGTTCGCACTTATTCTGATCCTTGATTTGTCAGCACTATACCTGCTCACGTAGTTTCCACATGAAGAAGTAAAGACTGCTTCACTTAGGGATTTCCTAGCGGAAGTTTATTATAGCAACCATTTAGCTGCTTGAGACGAATGAGGAAACACATACCTATTTGTCTTGTATGATTCCCAACGTCACACCTATAATGACACGTAGTTTATGGCCCCAACACCCTTCCGAGCAACCGGTAAACGACTGTCAACTCGATCACGTCGTATCGTCTAATACCCTTAATTTGCGACTTTGTACAATCATTGACTAAGTATCAACTAGACGGTATAAACTTAAGATCCAATGCGAATAATCCTGTAATACGTCTCCGCCCCGCACCTCTGTGGAGTTACCAACACGGTCCGAACCCTCCTACTGGCTCAGGTGCGGTGTAGAACACTACGATGTCTCGAAGGTGTCACACCTTGCCCCGGAGTTGAGGTTATGAATCCGGTGTGGCGCTCCGGTCTGGGGTGTGTTAAGGGTTAGGGGATCTTCGCGGTACATTAGCTACCCGGGGTTAATCCGCGGTAAGCCTTTCTACGCCTGTCTATCTCGCACTTATATGGGAACAACAATAACGAGGCAGTGTTGTTAAGGGTGGTAGACAGAATGTCCCGCCAGTGGTCAGCTTCTCACAATGACAACAGTAGCTTAGCGTCTGACCATTGGCGTTGTTTGACCGGTGGAGGAACCAGTGGCCGCGTACCCGTCAAAACCGCTGAACTGATTAAACGGGTATTTCGGGTGTTGCTGACGTCTTGAATTACCAGTATTTGAACAAAAGAATCTGGAAGTAATTGGGGAGTTCTTGGTTAAAGTGTACTTGTGTTATCCAGATGTGATTTTTCAGGTTATGGAAAGGGGCGTGTGGCCGAGCGTCTTGTATTCATGGACATTCAGACCCATTCGTGTCATTCCGGGACAACCGAGGGGCGAATGGTCATCAAAGGGTCGTGCAGTTTGTTCACGTCGGAAACGAACCATCTTCGGTTATCCAGAGTATTATGTTTCAAATCTTCACCCCATTGCCACTAAACTTCAAGGGGCGGTGGGGTAGCCTAGTGGTTAAAGCGTTGGCTCGTCACGCCGAAGACCCGGGTTCGAATCCCGACACGGGTACAATGTGTGAAGCCCATTTCTGGTGTCCCCCGCCGTGATGTTGCTGGAATATTGCTAAAAGCGGCGTAAAACCATACTCAGTCAGTCAGTCTAAACTTCAAAACTTCCAGAAGTGTTTTAGCTTCTCAATCTCCCTTATCACTAGCTTAAAGCAGAATCTCTCTTGCTCATGAGTGTAATGTACTGGTCGTGAGGGAAGGTGGTGGTGCTGGGACAGAACGGGTCTGTGGGGAGGGTGCTGTTCGCTGAGGAACTCTCGTTGTGACGACTTGAAAGGTAGTGGCTATAGTCAGTCGGGTGGCGGGTGGTGTGGGTTGTATGGTGGTATGTAAGGAAACAAACACACACCACTGCTACTTTATCAGGAACCCAGTGTTTTCTAGCGTCCGTTTGGCCATCTTCACTTCGAGATGACGGGGCGGATAGAAAATATGTACACAACAGCCACTCTCCATATACATGTACACACCTCTGTTAATCTCTGTATCTCGCCGGGCGCAGGAGCGGTCTAATCGTAAAATGTTCACCCGTTTCACCAAATACCGGGTTCGATTCCCAACATGGATACAATTAATGTACCTTACACTTTCATCGCCCTACCGACCACCTCATGGCTGGGTGTATAAGAAATATGTATAATGCTTTGCATTTATATTGGAATTCAAACCTGGGTCCTTGATGTGACCGATGGACGCGTTACTCACTGGGCTAACCCGCCGTTGATGGACTTATGGATGTTATAACAATTTGCAATAGAATTGTAAACTGTCTGCTTTATGAATCTAACAGTGTGACATGTTATCACAATGTACAGTAGACTCCCCAGTCTCAATGTCCATGCCTATCACGAACCATAATTTCTGTCCAAACTGTCTCCTTATAAAAGCATCGCCCTGTTAAAGACCCATTCAGAACGTAATGGCAATTTGTTCGAGTTTGCTCTCCAATTTGAACATTATGGATCCTTGCTAAACCAGCCATAAGGCTTAGCATGCCCCATTAGGTGTAACAAACATTCAACTTTAGACGATGACAGGATTACCCACGGTGGACTATACATACATTGCGGTAGTATCTCGCCACCTCCATACCTACATGGAACATACCCGCTGAAGTATATGACACGCATTGCCCATGCTCAACCACTGCTTAAAACCAGACGGTGTCAGGCGTCTTGTCGGATTCGTGTTTAAATGGCCGTGACAAGCTCAACTATTAAATAGGCCAGTTTCGGTTACGCCACGCCATGTTCATCCCTACAATAGAGGAACCGGAGCACCCAAGTAGCGACCGCCTCGGCAATAATGAATAAGTAGTTACATGGAAGTAGTATTTGTATGTCAGCTTAAATGACACGGGGTATTCACCCTACCCTCAAGAGCCCCCGAGTTCGGTAAAGGGCAGGCACTTAAAGGGTACAAAGTACTGTTCGACTAACGACTATTCTAAACATAAATAGAGAGTTGGGTACATGAAAAAGGTTTTGAGATTTAAATTCAGCTTAGTTATAAATATTAGTTGTGGGGCAAGTAGATTAATACGTCTATTCATGCCGTGCGGGTCGTACAGGGCAGGCAGGTAGAGCTCTTTTTCGCATACATGCATAAATATTCAGAGCGCGAGAGAGAAATAAAAGCACATAGAAGTCGTGCTGGTGCGGAGAGGTAATGCGTAAAGATATTCATTTTAATTTTTTTCACCAACAGGTTCTTTTAACCAAGGGCTCTTTCTCTATCAGAATCCAGCGAAGAAATTAATAAAAATAACCAACCCATTACATTCATTCGTAACTTCTCGCCTCTTTCCGTGACTTACAAGAAGACGCCATCCGGCTTGCCGGAATGACACGAGTAGTTACGAATGCCATTACATTCCCAACCCTTTTCAGATCCAGCAGTCCATACTCAACCTAGTTTGATATTAGATTGATTGAGTAAGCTTTACGCCGCTTTTAGAAATATTCCAGGATTATCACGACGGGGAAAAGCAGAAAGGGGCTCACACATTGTGCCCATGTGGGGCATCGAACCCGGGTCTTCGACTTGACGAGCGAACGCTTTAATCTCTAAGCTACACCGCCATCCTGACTGTCTTGGAGCAAACCAACCAGAAATTGTTTGAACCCATTTTAGCAGTATTTCAGTAAAATTACGACGAGTGGGACGTGCGTATAGATATAAAACATCTACCTGATAAAAAATAAATAAATAAATAAATAAATAAATATTCCATTCTGGGCCATACAAGCGAGTGATATCATGAGCAACGGTCCTCACCATCGATGTGCGTTGACACCCCGTCAACCAGGTTACCAACCCTATCCATCCGATCCACAGAGCAGCCTCATATACGACCAGCAAGGATTGACGGGACCAACTCCACTTCCTTGGGGGCGATTAGCGTTATACAATATGTGTCTGATACAAACAACGACACCTGATCTATTTACTCACCTTTATGGTTTCTGGGATCATGTCAGACACGCAATATCTACGGGAGGGTATGCACCGAATCTGAAAACGTTAATAAGCACGTATTATATTTTAGCGAAAAAATAAAGACATTTAATCCTTCGTGTGGTTTGGAAATCGCGGAAGAAAAATTAAAGCGTATGACCCCAGTTGCGGGGTTCGAACTCACTCTGAAAAGCGCTCGGATTTCTGTAACGCAGATTTGGCCTCGGTAACGCGCGTGCCATTGTGAGCGTGTCAACCAGCATGCGGTCGTCTCGGGCGTCCAAGCCATCCATCATGGTTTGTGTGGCCCAGTGAGGGACGGTCAGACCCAGACATATATCACCTAGCTCTAGACTGACATTTAGCCCAGGAATAAAGTTAATTCATTTAAAATATATCTTCAAAAAAAGAATAAATAATTCAAAAGGAACTGAGAATTGTTCTCAATTTCCTAACGCCGAGACAATCTGGACTTGCCGACTTTAAACTTGAGTTGGTCCTATTTAGTTATATTCTTTGGGTCGTGGAGACAAACAACGCCAAGTTCCACTTCTTGCACATCAGAGTGAGTGAGTGAGTGAGTGAGTGAGTATGGTTTTACGCCGCTTTTAGCAATATTCCAGCAATATCATGACGGGGGACACCTCAAATGGGCATCACACATTGTACCCATGTGGGGAATGAAAACCGGGTCTTCGGCGTGTCGGCGTGACGAGCTAGGCTACCTAACCACCCCCTGAACGAATATAGAGCAACCCTTCAGCACAATTACAAGTGGACTTTTTTTAGATATCTTGTTTTCCCTCATTTCGATAAATTAGAAAACTGAAGTATCACATATATTTTCTTTTTAAACATATTTCATTGTTGACAACAATGACCAATGGGGACATGGAAAAAGTTAAGTCAACCTCCTTCTAAAAGATATTATACAGACATTGGTTTATTTATGTATTTGATTTGAAAAATCATACACATAATTTATTGGGAAAAAAACCAGAAACATTTTAGACACATTGAGAAGAAAAATAAATTGTTTGTGGGCACAAAAAACTGTTCCAAAGCTGTTCCAAACTTGAACAAATTTTTGCGCATGCGCCCGAGTACACGATAGAGGTAGAGTTTCACGTTCTTCGAGTTGGGAACAACATGTCTCCGTGTGGGGGAAACTGGATGAATAGCAGTACATTCCAAAAATAAATTCAGTTTTGATCTTGCACCTTTGAATACCTCCATGTAAGAAAAACTTTTTTCAGTTAAAATATGTGCGTTGGGAACAACGTAAAACTTGCATATGTCTGTCTGGTAGTAGGTAATATTTCTCTCATCACGATATGTCTTAAGTCACGTGAAGCAGCTGTCTGTAATGGAAGACATATGGCATGATAAATCCCACATTTTAGCGTTAATGAGCCGTTCCTGGCAATTTAACACCTTTAAAGTTGAAATCAATTCGATTCCGTATCTCAGAAACGCGACTTTAAGGGAATGACTTTTTACACTTATGTTTTAAGATCTCTTTAAAATATACTATTCACACTTTGCGAAGGATCAAATCATAGATTCAACAGAAAACTATGATGTGGGGTCAAATTTGGTTTAAATATCCAAGCTTATTGTAATCATGGATCCTAGGTTTCAGTATGTCACTGCATCTTGTGGATCCCATACCTGCTATTCACAGGTGTTGTGTACTTGCCAGTGACTCGTTCCATGATTTGCAAAATGGTTGATTGGTGCCATGAAAACCATTTTTATGGCAACTCACGTATCATGGGCATAAGGTTAGATTAAAGTGACTGTTTGCCTAAGGAGGGGTTACCACATCTATCCAGTTTTAAATGGACACAATTTCAAATTATACATCTACGTTTAAGTAAAGTTGTGAATTTGTTTGATCCTTGGCAAAGTGTGATAAGTATCATCCTCGATAATCCCAGGGGATAATCTCCACTATAGTGGATCCGAGAGTTATCGTAACGTGTACCCTGGAGAGTATCGAGGATGGAGTAGTATATGACATACCATCTTCCACATCGCGTTCTATACTTGTAGGTGTGTATTTGATCATCTCTTTATTAGGGTCCCCATGTGGTTTTCTGGTTTGGAATTTTTTAACCTTTTCTTTATTACACTCAGTGAGTTACATAATTAAAGTACATTCAAAATAAGATACATTATCAATCAGATCAGAGAAATCTTTAGCTGATGAATCGGCATTTATATCAAGATGAACATTGACGTTGGTAGTAACAGGTGATCAGTTAAGACAGCTGATCTAACATATACCAACGGCAATAGAGGTGAACGGTAATATATGGGCAAAATAGTTAAGGCACGTTTTGTAGAATTAATGCATAGTTTAAGCCCTTTGATGTTCATAACAAATATATGTCGTTTGGCTAGAATGATCATATGAGTTAATAAACTGTCAACACAAGAGAAAAAAGAATGTCATTGTTTGTTATTTCAATATTTTATCAAAATAGTTGTTAAAATCGTCCCAGAAGGATTTGACATATGGACATTTTATATACCCATGGTCGATATCTTTGCCTTCTGGTTTCGAATTGGTGTCAGTATCCTATGATGTTAAGGGATACTTGAAGGTTCGGACACTTGGTTCATGGCGTTGGTACCCGTGAAGATCCGGGTTAGAATTGATCTTCTAAGAGGCGACTAACGGGATCGGATGGTCAGGCTCGCTGACTTGGTTGACACATGTCATCGTATCCCAATTGCGTAGATCGTGCTCATGCTGTTGATCACTGGATTGTCTGGTCTAGACGCGATTACTTACAGACCACCGCCATATAGCTGGAATAGAGTTGAGTGCGGCGTAAAACTAAACTCACTCACTCATGGCGTTGGTCCAACTCGGCTCATAATATCAGTCACGAGTTCAGATTCGGATAATTAAAGGAGGTCGTGTTATATCTGGAATATTGGTAAGTACGGAGTTTAACATCCTCGATAATTTCCTGGGTATACGTTACGATAACTCTCCACTATACCCTGGATGCATCCACGGCTTGGGGCGATGATTTTATTACCTCCCTTGGCTGGCTTTTTATCCAATCAGGTACCTACGCTGGGAAGTTGAGCGTACCAATCACAACTCACTTTCGCTTCTTAAACTATCTAACCGTTTAAACTTGGCAACACAATTGATGCAGAGGTACTTTGAAAGAAGTAGAAGGAGTTATGTCATATATTTTGTTTCAGATCTGTCAATTTGTCTTTATTATTTCCCCAAAAATCTGAGTGGCACTGCGAACAAACCTTCGCGACTGCGACCGCTATCCTTGATGATACTGGCAAGCTCGGTTGTAACGGCTGCTTAGCTGATTGGCTGAGTCAGCCAAGGAAGGTAATAAAATCATCGCCCGTGGATGCATCCAGGGTATAGTGGACAGTTATCGTAACGTATACCCTGGAAATTATCGAGGATGGGAGTTTAACGACAAACAAACATCAGTAGAATATATGGACTTCTTTGTTCATGGACTAATATACTACAGCTCGAATCGACACTTTTCATAAGACTAAATTCAACAACAGCACTTTGCTGTGCATGCGGATTCATATCTTAACGGCAGAACCAATACAGTGCCACTGTACGGGCATTCGAAACTACTCGTGTCATTCCGGCAAGTCTTCTTGTAGGTCACGGAAAGAGGCGAGTAGTTACGAATGACTATACGGGTCGACAGCAGTCTTTGTAGACATATTTAATCAGTTTAATCTCTTGGTGTTTTTTTTAATTTTCAACAAAGAAACATGCCCCCTTTCACAGAACACAATAGCACTGATGAAATATATAGTGGGATTTCCATCGTCGTGTTCCATCTAATTCTGTGAAGTGAGTTTGGTTTAATACGACCATGAACGGCAGGCATTTCAGTTTTTGAAATCACGTCAGAAAGACTAGGAATGAAATCCGAAGTGCTGCAGGATTCTGTTGTTCACCATTTTGCTGAAATTCACCAGCGCGAATATGGTGCTGACGTATATAAAAGTACAGAGCAAACTGGTGTTGGAACTCACCATCATATTTCTGGAACGCCTAAGGGACTAAGCTTGATATCATGGTCATGTGTAGCGGATTGTTTGTTGTTCGTACTATCAACCAAGGGTTTGCTTGGTCATGATCCGACTGGAATATTTCACTCGCGGGCTCGCTCACTCACTCACTCACTCACTCACTCACTCACTCACTCAGAGGATTCCCCACATGGGTACAATGTGTGAAGCCCATTTCTGGTGTCCCTCGCAGTGAAATTGCTGCAATATTGCTGAAAGCGGCGTAAAACTACACTCAATCACGCACTCACTGAGAGGGACGTCAGTGAATTGGATGGTCTAAGGTAACCAGTTTAGCGTGTCAGGTATTCGATCTATGATGTCGGGTTCGAACGTACTCCAGTACAACCAAACGGATACCGAAGGAGTTAACAAAACGCTTCTCACAAAGACCCTGTAAGAATACCACCGAGAGCTATTAAAGTCTCAGGGCATTTTGTTGTCCAATACATCCCATGTATACTTTTATGTCGAAATGCAATAAAAACACTGTTAAGCCATTTTATTCGTTGGTGGG